GAATTGTGAACTTTTGTGATCGTATTATCCTAATTAGACCCTTAGCTTTCTTTTCATACTTCATTTGGTCCGTAAAATGCAAAAATAAGTATTTTTATAATTTATTAGTACCACTGAGTTGCCACTAGATGGCGCCACCATGTCCATTTTGTGACAGTTCGCACTAATTATGAAAAAAATCTTATTAAGAGGAATAATTTGCGAACTTTTTTATATGCCTCCTTAAAATGAGGCTCCCTGCTTTCTTTCTATGTGTGTTTTGTTCTAGAAAAACGTGTGTGTAAAAAGTTGAATTTTTTCCAATAGATCGAAGGATGTCCTTGTCGCACACTATTGCTTTCCTTGTCTAGCGTTTTTAGACAAGGAGAGCAATAGCGTGCGACAAGGACAGACTTATATACGCGCTAGACAAGGAAAGCAATAGCGTGTGACAGGGACAGACATATGGGTGCGTTAAACAAGGAGGGCAGCAGCGTGCGACAAGGATAGATATATTCGCGCGTTAGACAAGGGGGGCAATTGCTTGCGACAAGGACAGCAATATAAATTAGTTTCACTGTTTTACCGTTACGCGACGCTAGCATTTCAGTGCCTGTAAGGGCTAACACATCCAATCTTTCCCATTTAGCATATCCTGTGCTTTTTTACAGTTGATCGGTATTTTCAGAATGTGAGACACGAATCTTCATGTAATGCGATGTCTACTTCATATTTAGTCAATGGCATGACGACAAGTAAGTACTTGGAATTGGCCGAAATTGTTAAAGAAGAACCGCCAACGAATAGGGAATTTCAATCCCTCCTCGATATCTTTTTTAAAATCTCTTGTACCCGCTTATCGATATTCTCTGCATTAATTAGGAAAACGTTTTACACGTCAATTTAGTGATTCGGCAAAAGAAATTGAAACAACAAGGAAGTGAAACGCAATGCAAGAAAGAAGAAATGTAACTAAATAAGATGCACAGTACGAACAATCGTTAGCTAGCGGGAATTGAGTTGATTCGTCCCACCATCTTGAACTATACCATACTTTATCGTTTGCTAAATACTCCGTCGAAGGAGGGAACTGTCAGTATATGTATACATACATCTGCGAATTTGCATTACGCGTGCCTTTCCACTTTCGAACCTCGGTCAAAAGAGGTACAGACTAAATTTTGAATTTTGACATAGTTCTTGCTGTATCCGCCGATTAAAATAGTGAATTAACTTTTATAAAAGAACACGTAAGTTACATATTTGAATATGTACTCGTCTTAAGTCTCTCTCAGTTGTTAGCAAATATCACGCAAGGTAATGCGAAATATGTTTTTTATTATAGTAACTCTGCCGAAAATTACTCGATAATCTGTACGACTTGTATAATAAATTTCACGAAAATTGCAACCTGCAAAACGGTGATCATCAGAAAGATTTTCAATGGTATGAAAAGAGCATCAGCTTAACAATACGACACAATAGAGATCGTTCGACTAGTCTGAAAAAGGTATACGACTGTTAACGAGGAATTTATATCATTTATTCCAAGAATCAATTAATTTTTTTATATTTTTAATCTGCACTTCGTATTTGTTTTTGCCCATTTCTCATCTTCATAGTATATTTCACTATATCATGTAATTGGACGTTAGTGAAATGTAAATGGCGAATTGGCCCATAAAATACATTATGTTCATTTTCTAGTTTCTACAGTTTCTGATGGCTAGAATTACATATACAAAATTGTCTAGTACTTCATGTATGGTTGCAGAAATATATGAAGTATTAGACATAATATGCATTGTATTACCTATAATAGTTATATATTTGTTTCACTTGCTTTGCTATTTAAATAAAATAATAATTTGTAATATAATTTGTAATATATATTTGTTTGCATAGTAAAAATGATTGAATTGCCTTTGAATTTCTAATCTGGAAAATTTTATAATTAGATGTCTCTTCTGCCTTTTATACTACATTTTTTCTCATTGATATCTTAATTTACAAAATGCGCAGAGTCTACAGCCTTCAAGAAAATATTTTTCCATGCAGCAACAGTGGAAAACAGTTTTGCAGTGAAATATACCTTTGCAGTAAAAATAATGCAGATAGCTCTAAAAACATGAAATACTCAATGTTGCAAGAACAAGAATACGGGGTAGGTTTACCTCAGAGTCGCTTGTCCAATGAAATGAACGAATCTATATTAGTCAATGTAGATACCATGGAATTTGGAAACAATTCTTTCCAAAATCTCGAGGAAACCTCTGTTGTATCTAATCTTCCTCTTTTATTTGCCAATGGACATCCAACATCATTGGAAAAAATTACTTTGGTATGAATATTTCTTTTCTTAATTATATTTATATTTATAATGAGTTTTAAGCAATTATATATTAATAGAAATTAAATTTTTTACTAAAGTACTAATATGAAGAATATTAAGAATGTTTTAATTTTAGGAACAGTTAGAATGTTTTGTTACATTCATGGTTAAATGCTCCTTGGGTTATGACACTAACAAAGTGATCAGTGAACCAAGGTGGTGGCCAAAAGAAGTTAAATTTTCAAATCCTTTAACAAGACCTAAAAGAGTAAATGATGTGAGTTATTTGTCTTAGTGATAATATAATAATACAAATAAATATCACTGTTCAATAGTAAAATATTTAATTTCTTTAATGTATACTATTCTTTAGAATTGGATGGCCAATCTAAAAAAATTAGTATTCAGATGTTATACATATCATAGAAGTGAATATCTCTTACGTTTTTGTTCGTACCTTGCACGATATCCACAAGAAGATTTACAATATGTTAGCAATTGGGACTCTACAACAAGTTTATATCACAAAACTACTGGAAAATTATTGGTGACATTTCGAAATGAAAATATGGTTGGTGATATTACTTTGTTTTACAGAATGTTAACAATCTTGTAGATTATAAAAAAATAAATAATTTATTTTAATTATAGAATTACGACAAAAGATATGAAAATTCACGAAAGAAGTTATTATCTTGTAGTGGAGTAATGTCTTCCTACAATGCTAAATCAAAACAGCAAGAGCATTCCATTATGGTTGAACATACATCAGCAGGAGATATCTATCTATGTGACAATTGTGATGCTGAATTTATAGGCCTAGAAAAAATGAAGGTAAATACATTAAACATGATGTATATATACATGAGTTAGAATGAAGAAAATAAATAAAATTAATAGTAATTTTTTATAACGTTGTAGGAACATGAAAGTATATGTTATGAACAAGAGCATAACGGAGGTAATTCACGATCTATAACTCCAGATTCTTTAATTGTAGAACCTGAGTTAAGGCAAGATCAATTTTTGGAATATTTTCATTTGTGTTCGGTACAATCCGAATCAAAATCGAAATCAGTTGAAACCAACAATGGTGCTACAATTAATAACAATAGTAGTAATAATAGTAATAATAACGTTATTAGCCGCACTTCCCGCCGTGTTCGAGGATCTATAAATTTTACGAGATTTGCGACTATTCCTTTTTCTTCTCCTGCTGGTATATTATTAGCTAAAGCTAAAAAGTCAAAAGCAATGACAGAAGAAACGCAACAAGAAAGATTAGAAAGGATAGAAAGACATCTTATTGCTCCTGTCTTGAATAGTTCGACCAAACCAAAGTGGTTCGGTGCGGATGTTGATCATAATAGGTGGAATGTTACATATAAGCCAAATCGGGAAAAAGTGGCTTGTGATTATGTGCATCAATACAAATTTATAAATTCTGTTAGAAAAAAACCAAGTAAGTGCATCTATAAAAAAGTTTCCTAAAATCTTGTCTGTTTTTCTTTTTAAAATAAAGATTGTAATACGTTTATTACAAGTATTATTCCTTCTTTTTAGTGTTGAGCATAAAATCGCAATTACTATATATTGTTTGTCGACCTGTTTTTGTTATTTTAAAACGATTAACTCAAGAACAAATACATGATCTTAAACAAAATCCATCAAAATATCGGTGTCTTGTCCCAAATGTTTCGATTGATAACAGGAAAATGATAACGAAAGATGATAAAAGAACGAGACCGAATGTTTCTTCGAAACGTAAAGCTCCGAGTGATGAAAGTGACACGAACGCAATGGAAGAAAACGTAGAAAAGGTAGCTTGTAATAAAATTAACAATGTAGAATTAACTGAGTTTGAAAGTACAAGTTCTTGTGATGGAAATAATACGACTGCCATTCATTCAATTAAAGAGACCACATTGTGCGCAAAATCGTCGGAAGCAATTGCGGTGATCGACCTTTGCTCTTCAGACGAGGAAGAAAATATATGTATCCCTGCATCTTCAAACGAAAATAAAGATTCGATAAATTCTGTATCTAAAGATGTAGCAGATTCGTTGTTAGAAAAATTTTCTTCTTTCTTTTAATTTCAATTAAGAAGTGAATGGCTATCGAATAATATTTTAAATAACAATTCTGAAAATTATACAAGTATCATAGTACAATGTACAAATTTATCCCCGAAATCTTAGACCAGCAGCAAAGTTATAATTATTTGATACATAATATCCATCGTATACGCGTTATTTGTCGTTATTTGTCATTATTTGTCATAATATTTATTATTTCAATTTTATATGATCATAAAATGTGTAAAATGTTATATGTATCATTTTATTATTTGCATTGTATTGTTGTTTATTAAAAAAAAAATCCCCATAAATATTTGATATTGTCAAATGACAAATCAATGAAATTTCGATATTTTCAAGAGAAATATATCAAATTTCACGTTTATCACATAGCCGACGCATTTTTATATATTATATACTATTGCAAAAAAAAAAAAAGAAAACCTGAGGAAAGGATAAATAAAATCGAAATGAAAGTCGTTTATTTTTTTATAATCGATCTTGTTAATATACCTCACTATAAAATACTCGTGTTTGCACTTTATTTTTTTGTTTATGTATTAAGAACAATTTTTGTTTTGTAAAAATGCATATATACTTAAAACCAAACACTTCTCATTCTTGTTTTTTTTTTGATTTAACGATTTTTTTCATTAAAAATGATAATAATTTCTCTTTCCAATCCATTTCTACACGTTTCAAAACTAATCTTTTAGTTGAAATGTTATGAAGTGGACCAAAAGCTAGAGCAACTGCTGTACAGGCTAAACAAATAACATTGTACGGCATACTGAAATCAGGTGTAGGCAAACTAATTAATAAAGATTCAGTTCTCAACTGTACCAGATATCCTTCTCTTGAAGCATTGAAACTAAAATTTGAATTATTATTAGCGAAAATTATTGAGTGTTATAGTGTATATTATGTTGTGAATTATTAATGTAAAAAATTTTAACCTTGACGTTATAGTACTTCCATCGAGTGGTAATGGAGTATAATTTCTTGCAATCGGAAGTAATGCAGTGATTATAGCAGGACCCATGTAAAATCCATGATTAGCATCTGGTGGATATTCTTGCCACTTAAGAAATGAATAATCCATTTCTATAGAGAATTTAGTTACTGACTGCGGTGGTAAACGTAAAATTAATTCTAAGTAGTAAGGGCTTTTTCGTTCTTTGCCTGGTAAATAACGCTGGGCCACTATATACAAGATTTAAGAGGTTCAAAACAACAAAGAACAGTTAGCAGGTAGAAGAAAACTCGATTAACTACAATAACTGAATCACTGCCTGTAATAATATGAATACATCTACTCACATGGTATAATATTTTTTGTTCCACAAGTTATTGTGACAGAATGTAAATATACTGGCAAATACCATGGAATACTTTCTAATAAAATTATATCGAGTGTTTGCCAGTAATTATTGTAAATTTTTGTTACTAAACTACCTCTTTCTTGTCCATATCCTGCAAAAAGAAATTTCTTTTTTGCTATTTCTTTCCATATAATTATTGTAATTTATATATAAGTATTTATACAAACCAATGATGTATCTATTTGCATATAAAATTGAAGGGTAATTTAAACCAGCTGTGTGAGTAGTATTATATAAAACTTGAATATTAAATATTCCTTTTGAAGAATGCGATCGAATGTCATAAACAGCTATTTCATTTAATTGTCCTCCTCGAAGACTAACAATTTTTGCACTTGGTGACGGTACTAATTCATAAATTTGATTAGTATTATTACTAGATATGTCAATGTATATGTTGCTCAATGTAGCAAGAGGGCACGCTCCTCTAATACCCATTCCAAAAAATTTTCGGATTGACCAATCCTGAAAAAAGATTCATATGAGTACTAAAAATTTTGTATAATGTGCAAAATTTTGTCAAAAATTTACCTGTGATACATCTGTTACAGTGTCGTATATCAATGAAACAGATTGACGTAATTCTAACGATGTTTTGGTACAAATCGTGTTAGAGCATATAACTCGAAAATGTATTCCAATGGAATGATAATTTGTGTTGTGAATGTATGCGGAGTTTAATAAGGTTGCCAAGCCTTTCTATTGAAACATCATATATACAGAATCTGTTATACAAAATAAATAAAAGTCCTTATTCTTTACACATACCTTAGAATCACATGGCAATAGTTTTTTAAATGGTGTTAAATTTTCCGTACAGACTATTTCTCTTGGTAATGATGAATAGCGTAAATGACTAGAATTGACACTATCTACTACTCCTGCTGACCGATCTACTACTCCTGTAGGACGGAATGTATATTCAGGAGATATACTATTCGCAGGATTAACAAAATTTAAGGAAGCACAAAATAAACCAGCTAGCGCATTTGTTAAACCTTTCCATTCATCATCGACACTGTAACAGATATAGAGTATAATATTTAGAAATTATTTATTTTCTTTTAAGTTCTAAGTTATATTCTACTTTTTGACATCTTTGTGGAACCACGTAGTTATTTCAGCACCAGGGCCAGCATCATGATAAGGATATCCCCATTTCTGGTAATGCCACAATCCTTTAGTTAATGTAAGATGTAATTCATCTACATTGTGACGACTTATAATTTCACCAAGTCCTCTTGGAAATAAATGAGAATGTTGAACTGAAACATTAACTTATACTATATTTATATTTGATAACACATTTCATAACTTACATGTTGTTGCATCTTTTGTTGTTTCCCAAACAGTAGTAAATTGAAAATATGCATAGACATGATTGCTTGGTAATGGTTTTAACATCAGTTCTTCATCAAAAAAATCATTTTGAGGAGACACACATTTTATAAAAGTGATAAAGATAAAAGATAATAATGGTATTTTAAAATGAATCATCTTCGGTATGTTTCAAATATCTTTGGTGTACTTCTGTTTAATACCGTCTTAACTGCAAAAAAATTTTAAACATTTCGTATTTACATTACAATAGAGAAAAATAAAAATTTCAATTAATAAAAAATATTGTTTTAGTACATTGAACAAATCGTGATTAATTTCTCTATCGACAAGAATAAAAAAGATATAAATGTCAAACAACACGTTACGGTACATTATATCAAATGTTATTAAATTTTAATTTTCAATCAACTAACAATATAGAAAGTTTATCTATTTTTGACAATAGACAGCATATAGTACACAACTATGGTTAAACTAATACAACTATGGATAAAATTCACGCGTGTATCATGTATATGACAAATCAATGCATATGTATCAACGAACAAGGAGAGTTTTCATTGTTACAAATATAATTAAATCTTTCGAACTGTAAGAATACACAGATCTCGTGTTAAAACGAAAAACAATTATGCCATTCTTTCTTTATTTAAATGATCCGTAAATTTGTAAGGAAATCAGTTTTAAAAGGAACGTTACCAATAGAAATGTCTTTTAAGGATCGATAGTTGTGTCAGTATTATTTCATTGTGTCAATTGTTACGTACGCCATATAAAGAGGACGCTTGTTTTACTACAAAAGACCGGAAAAATAAGCTGTCTGTTAAATATGGAACCAGACGAGGGGGAGACATATCCGAAGCAAGGAACAACACGTAGCGAAAAGAACACGACCATCGACTACGATGAAGACAGAGTAAGGTTAGAGTTAACGAATCCTGTGTAAAAAGAGCTGTCGCTTACGTTTACAAAATGTAGTTAATCGAAAAGGACAATACTATTAATCGTAATCATTTCAGCTGCACGAGATGACAGCGTCGTATTCGGAAATATCGTTCGATTCACAATCGTCTCCGCCTGTTTCGGAGTTGAGATCGTTGATCGATTCACCGGATATTGATGGAACGAGATTTTTGGATGGTAGTCTAGAGAAAATGAACGGGATTGGTGGCAGACCAGACCAGTTGAATTTAAAGAATAGAGAATCTAGTCCAATCGAGGATGAAGACATAGACCCACCAAGTTATCACAAGGCTATGGGATATTTGCAGCTTGAAGGAACGGTAATGCAAGACGGTGACATGGTACTGTTCGTTGCCGAGGACTTAGAAAACAAAATCAAACTGTCCAGTCCTGTAACAAAGAAGGGAGAGACACCATCTTTCCCGGGTTCTCGCAGTTCCACTCCCTGTTTATACAGGCAAGCTTTAACGCCACAGGTGCCTCTTCTCGATCATAATGTATTAAATGAATTAGAGATGGAAGCAAGAAAGGTGGCCACCTCTGTGGATGCATTGACAGAAAACTTGGCAGCCATTCTGCACAGTGTAAATTATCTTTATCAATTATACTTCTACTTCTATATCAGGTTATATCGAAGAAAGATTTTATATAATTACAGTTACTTTTAGGCATCTGCGCTTACTGTAGGTTGTTTAGAAACATATAGGGATGCTGTTTGTAAAACATGCGACGCAGTGGATCACAATATCAAATCAATGTATCAATTAATGGCAAAATGTGAGGAATTGTCAAAATCTATGGGTCCTATATATAAGCTAGCCGAACAAATGCAAGTATTGGAATATTGTGCATAAAATATATATATGTTTCTGTAATCATAATAATACTCTTCTATCTTTTAGTAAGGAGATGAAAAGGATGTTGGAGCTGTTTGAGAGTGCAATGAATCTGTGAATTTATAAAGAGAAAAAATTAAATACTTATAATACATTTGTCCGATTAAAATTTTCATCTGTTATGGATCATTTACGAAGCTGTCTCAGTTTCTATGTTGTTCAATTCTAAAAATGTATCTTTGCTGAAATTTAACATTTTCTTTTAAATATATAAATATTACGTATATTGTATATACTGTTACATTTATTTAATATGAATAAAATACGGATATTTATTTGATACGAATAAAAAATCAAATATTTTTCTTTATTTAATTATTATTTTGCCAAAATTAATTTTGACAATCTCCTTTACCCATAATTGATACTTAAATAGTAAATCAATAATATTATCCTAAATCGTTTCCAAACTTCTTGAAAACGATACTTTCTACTGTGATCTCAATTTAATAATCACTAAATATCGAGTCTAAATAATTTTAGATTTTTTTTATTAAAAAAATTTTCATTTTCTATAAAAAAATTTGATATTACATTCGTATAATACATTTTTTAGATATTTTTTTTAGAGAAGAAAAAATTAATAATGTTTCCTAGCGATTTTATAAAATAAAAAAAGGAATTTCTTCGTATCACTTTCATAAAAAATATATACATATTTCTTATTTCGAAGAGAAATATTGAATTTCAGCAACGATATGTTTTCATAGTTTTACATGTATCGTGGAAATATTTATTACAATAGTTTTTATTATTCAGATGTATGTATATACTTTAATTAAATGTTAATAATGTTAAGGAATTTTTAAAGTGTGTATTCCTTCACCTTTGAATATTAAGTAATACTTTTAACATAATCGCATAATAGTCTTATAATTAACACATAATTCACAGTGATACAGTCTATAGACGATAATGGTCCGAAGAGCAGTATCCAGTGCGTTTTACTCCTCTTGCTTTATACGTTTTCAGCAAGCGCTTCTTCACTTTCAACGTGACGAATAAAATTTACCATCACACGCCGCATTTTATATCTCTTTTGTTCTGAAATGTTATATACAATGGAGGGAGTAATTCGCATGGATTGCGTGGTTCGGTGGTGATCTATTGTAAATCAAAGCTGTAAATAACATTATCAAAAAGCAACAGTGGTAAATGCGTCGCGACGCGCGCCTCATTTAACGTATTCGGCCGGCGTAATTATTAAAGACAGAGTGATTTTAATCCGGCTTGGAAAAAGAGTGGTGATAGCGGACAAACACCTCGTTAATTTATTTCCCTGGCCCGACACCTATTGAGATTACTGATGACAGGCGTGCATGTGTATCGCTCGTGTCCCTCGAACCGCTCTCAGCAAACGTGCTCACGCGTTCGCTCTTTTGCACGTTTTGAATTCCCGTCGATGAACACTGATTCTTTCTTCTCTTCTTCTTCCTTCACCTCTTCCACAATTCTCTTCCCCATTTCACGTTTCCATACGCTCTCAATGAAAGGAGGCAGAGTTCCTCAGACTATAAACGAAACCATCTGAATTATGAGTATTTTCAATGTCATTACACGTTGTCGCGTATCTGTCATAGATACTGTATTGTTAGTTTCCTCTTTTTTTCAAAGAAGGGATTGTAAATCGTGCATTGATTATCAAAACAAAAAAAAAAAAAAGGAAAAACAAAGAATGTTGCTTCATCGCATGAATCGCGACAAACTCATTTACACTTGCACATGTACATGTAAATAATTTAGTTTTATATTCTCGAGTGTTATATCGATAGAAATATTTTTTTATTGAAATGAATGCCTCGTTCGGTCTGATTTCGGTCAAATCTAAATCCTTTTCATACACGTATTCTAAGATTGGAGGTATAACAAATTGTACAGTATAAAGCGAAAAAGAAATTATTTAGCGCGTATAGACTAAACAAATTTGAAATATGATATTCCTACGGAATGTGTGTGTGTATGTGTATATGTGTGTGATTGTGTGAAGTGTGATCGAGTCGCAATCACTCGAGTATGAGAGACCGACAGAAATTGGGGAAGGTGGAAAGGAGTGGAGGAAAAGGGAAGGAGAAGAAAAAGAAGGAACGAAGAAGGATGAACAAAGAAAGGAAAAATGCTTGGCAGATCACAGACAGCCTAATTAAAAGGCTCGCCGTCACGCAGAATTTTCTTTCTTTCGTTTCAGCGAAAGCAGCTAGCGGTAAAATCTCAGGAAGCCGACATCTCTCTTTTCTTTTGTCCTGTCTTTAACCCTGTCTCGCATACGTATCTATGAACGTCCGTTCGTAGTTGCTTAGTAATGAGTCGGAGGTATCTTCTTTCGAATGTTGTTGCCCTTTCTTGCAGAAATGAACATAAAAAGAGACATGCATATATTTCTACTTACGCAGATAAATATTACATACACAAAAAATGTGCGTGGGCACATGTACACATGATACACACTATAAATGTGGAGGATCTTCGATACTTGAAGAGATATCGCGCCATTTGTAACTATCTATACTACGTTTGTTTGGGATAATTTATCTTTTTGCCATTAATTAGTAACTATTTTAATAATTTTTTTTTGGCAATCTATCTTTATATTTTTTTTTGTCTTTGTTTGTTCTATATTCCTTTGGCGTTAGTATTCAATCATATAAATCAGTCGTTCGATTGTACAATCACTGCGTTGTTTTCGGGAACAAACTGTACCGAATCATCGTAAAACCCTAATCCGTGGAAGATAAAGTTTAAAGAACCTTCAAGAACTGGCCAATTAAATTGCGATTCGCAAATTAACTTTAGTAATTATGAGTGGGCTTCGAGAGCCAGCACGGCGAGGAAGGGTTGGTGAGTTGGGATTACAAACGAGACGGCGGGAACTTGGCAACTTTTCAGTCGCTTTTTATACAACTTTTCTTGTTAAGATCGTGATTATGAATTTTCTATTTGATCACCCCTTTGCAAGTTCGTGACGTATTTATTTTTGTGGTTGATTACATTTGCCAAGGACTGTGTGCGAATTTGTGATTAACCAAAAAACGTGACAGTACTATAAATGGGGGAAGGGAGAAGGACTAGAATACATAGAACGTGCGCGGAATTGCATTATTGAAATACATTTATACCGTACGAATAATAAATAAATATATTACTCGTACAAACAATAAACGGATGTGTAAAGAATAAAGATTTTCTTTTTATCTAGATTTTCAAAATGGAATATATTGGCATCCATAATTAAATGATTATGTACAGATTGCGGATGTTTAGAATCTTTTCATGAACACAAAAAAAAATAGTACACATTTATTCGAAGACTTGTGTATGTTAAATATCGCAAGTGTGACATATATTTGACATACTTTGGACCGTGCATCACATGCGTTCGATGCATTTTTGCATCTTTAAATTCTTCATGTATTATATAAACATACGCAGCGTAATTACATTTACTTTAACGATGATTCTTAATCGTGTAACTTTGATTTTCATTCACGAGATTGCGTGGGATCTCAATCGAAGTTCTGCATTTTTAGTTGCAAGCAAAACGACGAAGCGTCGCCTTCAAGCGATTGAACTGGAAATTGCTTGAAGTTTAGAAAGAAAGGAACACCGGCATGCAAAATCATGTTAAATCGATCGTAAGATTTAACGGAATGAAACGGAAAGTACACGATAGGGATCGGCTGGGGTAGAAGAGCTATCAGTGTTTGTGCATACCTGCGCTATCGCTGCACGGTAGCGTTGCAAACGGTAGTTTTGGATAATCAGCGTTTGTGTAACTCTCTTTTGCCCTTTGTGTCATTCGTCCGTCTCCGCGAATTGAGGCATCTCATTCCATTCCATTCCGTTCCGTTCAATCCCGTCGCGTTCGTTTCTCCTGAAACCATTTCTCTCCTTTCCTCTCCACTATATTTCGCTGCGCTCCGTTCTGCTCTGCTCCGCTCTGCTCCACTCCACTCCACTCCACACCACTCCGCTCCGCTCCGTTCCGTTCCTCAGCACGCCGCTCAACTCCCTCTAACAGTTGCAACCAGTGTGACTATGGTCTCCGACGGCCGGTCGGTCGCTCATCCTTTTGCACGTCCCTGTCTAACGCGGTGAAAACCATTCTTCTCTCTTCCTCGTGCCTTCTTCATCCCTTCTTCGCCGTGGTAGCATAACTTGGTCTCTTTCCATCGTACGCCGGAGACACGCCTCCCTCTCGTGGCGCGCGACTGCCGTTGAATTCAGTCGACGCCGAGCCGGCACGCGTGTTGGCTGAGTATTATTCTTGCGTCGTGTCACGACATTGCGCCGTTTTGCCTTTCCTTTTTTTTTTGTACCTCGTCTCGTCTCGCCTCGCCGCGCCTCGTCTCGTATCGTCTCGTCTGGTCTCGTCTCGTCCCGCCTCGCCTCGCCTCGTTGCTCCTCGTTGCTCTTCGTTTTTTCTCGCGTCGTCCAGTTGCGAGAGTTCTCCGCGAGAGTCACACGTTCTCTCTTTGTCAAGCACAAATTTTTGTTAAACACAAATGTCGCGCTCAATGCGATGCAAGTAACCGGCCTGTTCGCATTTGTGGCGTGGAACCGCGAGGAGGCGCGCTGCGATGATGCTGGATCATCGGAGTGAGGACGATCTAGCCGCCTCGTGAGTGAGTGCTGTTCTCCCCCGTCGTCTCTCGAACAAGTGGAAAGAAGTGCGGGAGGTTCAACTTAATCGTAATTGCTTTCGTTCGGTTTCCCGTTCGGCTCTCTCCGATTCTTTCTTTGAATATCTTCGTTGCACGATTCTGGTACACCAAACTAAACACGTTTTGACTGATCCTCCACTCCGACGTTCGCATTTGCCGTCGCCTTTTCTTATAAAACGTCACTAGCACGCCTCATCGCCAACGTCAGCCCTGTAAAACATGGATTTTGTCATCTTGAAGGTAAGTGATCTATTTGCTCTACTTTCGGTTAGATATCTGATTTAAAAATTCGCCGTACATACATACACACACATTTCGTGAGTTTCGTACCAGAGATACGGCCTTACAATGCTGCACTCGGAGTGTTACACAATGTACGTAGTTGTGTTTCAGTTCGAAGATATCATACATATGTATGCACATTATACAAGTGTATTCTATTTGATTGTCACTTCAAAAACGGCTCACAGAAATATATAAATATGGATAACAAAACTTTCAACTCGATTGTCGCCGAGGGAAGATGATTTATTGCAAGCGAGATAATATAAACTTATTGACTTGACAAATTGAAAAAACGGGAGATAGAGGCTCTCGGTAGATTCAAATGGTTTAACGTACGCGAATAAAAGATCAACTGCCGTGTATTGTTTCCTATTTTATTTCACGTCGCACGAGCGAGTCGAGTGTACTTTCACGGGTAATTGCTGTTGTCGAGCGATGCAGTTGTCGCGTGTTTCGAACAACTCTTGTAATTGTTCAGACGTAAAAGAATGCGCGTAAGATTGGGATGGTACCGTCATAAAGAGATACATATACACGCAAGATAAAATATAAACGGGATTGTAGATCCTTGGACTAATACGACTGTTTTTTCGGACATACGTACGTGCTCACCTTTTTTACTCTTATCGTATTCCAACTAGCGAAGCAAGTTCACGTTAAATAAACACGATGATAAAAAAATTTTCAAGAAACGCAGCGGCCCGAGGTGTGTTTACCAACGTTGGGAGGTTATCGAAGTTGCTAGCCCTGCGATACATACAGACGTGTTCGTACGCGTTCCGTTTAATTTTAGCGCTCACGATTCATTCTAGGGGATGGTGTACTATTTTTCTTTTCTTCCTTTCGTTCTTTCGCTCATCTCTCTGTTACGCTTGATTTCGAATAACCGATGTTGAAGATGTTCCGTCGAATTGTTTCAAGGTTCGATGGAAATTTTTAACTATTTTTCAACGACGTGAAGGTTTAATCGTTGTCACGAACATTGAACATTCCACTTTATAGCCATAAAGTAAAAAACTTTAGCGGAAAAGCTTTTTATTCCTGCGTAGCATGTAACTTTTTTTTTTATAAGAAATAAAATTCTTCGGCATGTTCCTAGTAAAGTCATGTTTTACGTTGAGACTTGATATGTTGTGCATGAATCGACTCATGTTAACGCTTAAGTTGTACGAAAATACTGAAATATTCCACCATGATCGATGATGATAGATATATTAAATTGTATTAGACCATAGGGGAAGTAATATCAGTTTTTAGTTATATTCTCTAGAGAATTCAGTTTCAAATGGTGTAGTTGAATCATTATAAAATCATTTTATAAGGATAATTTTCTCCAATTAAAACATTCTTCTGCATTTCTGAAAAAAGTCGAACATGCATTCGTGTCTAACAATCTGTAGAAAAATGATAAATAATTGTTCTACAGGTTAATTATAATGTAACCTCGAGAATTGTATTTTTTTCTTTTCATGAAAGATATGTTTATTTTAAACAGTAATGTGTCTTTTCCAATTTCGGAGCTTCGTTTGTCTTGTTTGCCTTTTCAAATCATTTTGTCGAAACATAACCTAAAATGCAACCGCTGCATTGGCGGTAATATTTAAATAATAGAATCGACGCAACGTTTGAGTCAGCAATAACATTGCTGACATTCTGTGTATCGTTAAAAAATATTGTTCAAATTTGAACAAAATATAAAAGGATCGTTAATAGTTATTAGTGTACAGTAGAATCCCATGGAAATACAAAAATTGGTACTAACCTGGTTTGAAAATTAAACGCTTTTTAAGATAATAACATTATTTTAAGATAACGAAGAAAATTTTATGTTTTTATGTTTTAGAAATAAAATAAAATATATTTTATTTTGCATTATATTAAAAATATAAAATATGGAAAAAAGACTTTTTATTTAATTTTAACTTTTCCGAGGACGAAATTCATTAACGCGCAACGTACATAACCTATCTCCCTCAGGGAGATTTTACTAGATATGATTTCTCATTTCAGTCCCGTGTTTAAACATTTTTGTAGAATATTAAAAGTTGCTTATTTGACGTAAACGCAGTAAGCAATATTTACATAAGTATTTCAATGCAAAAACTTCGAGAATTACAGCTTCTGCGTTTTGCTCTTACTTGATAAAATGAAAATTTGGCTTCTCATCTTTGCTGGATATATGGATCTGATCGACAAAGGAAACCGGCGCATCGCGCTTTAATATCGGAGCTTAATTTAAATGCATATCGTGCGACACGATGCAACTTCTACACGCTTCTCTCTCATCTACGTAGCTGGCAAGCGTCGACGTATTATCGGACGAGAATAGCCCTCTCTGATCGCTGAAAAGAAAAGGACTCACGCTTCTTCTTTCGATTTTCCAAGATATTTTGAAAATTTCCCTTTACACACCGACGCGATCGAGAATGAAATAGATCGGACGCGAGCCTCTATTGCTTGTAAAAGGTGTTCCTTTTCCTATGGCTTTACCTATATATAGCGCTTATTGTTAGAAGAGTCCGATCTTTTCTTCCGCTCATTACACACATTTGCCAACTTTATTAATATTCAATGCTGCTACTCCTTTAGATGATCTTAAGTTATATGAAAGATTTGTGTGCTCAGTATTTTCAGTTATTTTCACTCTCAAAAATTTGATAATACATAGGGTGATGTAATAAGAATTAGTATCTTAAATGTCACCATGGTGATGAAATATTTCTTGAATCATTCATCTTTTACCTCTAACTTTGAACCTCAATCGAAAAAGAAACATAACTTATCCCAAAATCATGAGTGTGTATAATCAAATTAGAATAAAAATATTTGTTAAATTAATTAACCTTCGAGTGTTATCTTAATCCTTTCTCATGTAGTATCAGGAGATTTGTCTCTACTAAAAGAGAAAAGTATTGTTTCGCTTGAGAAATAATATAACTGCAAAATATAGAAGTAATTAGAAAAAAAAATTTTTTTACGATATTTCTTTTGAACTATTTATCTTTTTCCTCCAACATCTAATCTCAATCTGTTCATCATCCAGTATAGTCAAATCTCGTTATTGTCTCAGTACTTTTGCGGAAAAGGAAAGAGAATATTATATTGCAGTGAGAAACGGTGTCGAGATACTCGCAAGATTTCCAATTAGTTTGCCAGTAGGCGTGTAACGACCGTCTTGTAACGACCCGATTGCGTCGATGAAATGCGTAAAGTGTTCGTTACAGAGTATCGAGGAGACGAGAAGTGGCGCGAGGGGAACAGAGAGCAGAGGATGAAATCGCAAAAATTACTTGACAGCTGGGAATGGTGGAAATATTTTAATTCTTTCCTTCGAACACTCCTCGTACTCGAGATAATTGCCATTTGCGCCAATAAAGTCGGAATCTCGGCAGTTCCTCGTACCTACTTCTCGCGCTCGTCACCGTTGTTTTCCCCCCTTTTCCCTTTCTTCTCCCTACCTTTTGGATCCCCACCCTGTCGCCACTCCTTGCTTTCGTTCGTTCGTTACTCGTTACTTTGTACATTTCGTCTCCGTCTATCATCTCGGTGTTTTCCTCTTTTCGATCGCTTTTTCTTCTTTGCTTCCTTTCTTTCTTACGCTCTCTCCGGGGTGACACATCGTTCGATCTTATTTAGCTACATCGAGAGATTTTACGATTATCGGTTAACGACCTTTCCTTTTCCAGCTGTCGTCTGCCAATCGTTAGAATTGAAAGGTATTAATGGAAGGATTTCTTTAATTCTCCGTAATCGGGTACGTGAATGTGTGTGGAAGAGAAGGAGAATATATACCGATACACGAAAGTATTTTATGTTTTTATTGTTCTATAAATATTTCGAAATGTCATTGATACTGTAACAATTGTATTACCATTATGTTATTACACTGATACTACAACATATTAATACTGCAACAATCTTGGAACTTACTAATAATTAGATGATTATTATAAGTATCACAGATCGTTAATATTTATAAGAATCTGATTCACTTTATGCATTAATATTTAATAAAGACTCGACCAATGGCAAATGTACATTACGAGATGTAAAATAAGCGGAAAGACAAATAGAGATAAAAATCTCGTAGATCTCTTTATAATACTTAAAGGTTAAAATTACAAAAACATCTGAAATATATTTATCACATTTTTCTCTCGTGATCTTCGCTTGTGAACAATACTGTACGTCGACTGCTACTTTTAATTTCATACTGATAAAGGTATCGAAATGAAAAGTAGCGTGGCGGCTGTTCCCAATCGAAAGGGGATAAAATAGATGGCAGAACGCATCGAATTATCACCGGTGATCGAGTATTCGCTCCTTTCATTTCGTGGCTTTTCGTAGCACTGTTTACAACATGCTGTGCAAACATAGTCGTTATTCGATAAATTGATACAACAGGATACAGTTTGACCGTGCATGTACTTTTATCGATCTAGTTGGACACGCGTGCGATACACGCTGGCACCGTAATAACACCGTTACCACCATAGGTTCGTCGGGACGTTTTAATTAAACGACCACCAGCAGCAGTAACAGTACCATCGCCAATACAGCCGCGACGACTAGCAACAGCGCCAGCAGCAGCTTCCGATCACGATTATTAATCGCGTAATTTTGAAATCGCCAATGGATATTGAATTGGATATGGAACTATTGATTTGAAACGCGACGAGTTCTCTTGTTGGTCCCTCTTCCTTTTTTCTCCCGGAATTTTTTCTCCATTTATCTCGGAATTTCTCTCCCTCCCCTCTCGCTTTCTCCCGTATTAATGTAATTTCCGGGCATTTTAGTTTCGACTCGTTGGACAATGATATAGTTAGCTAGAAGCGATCCACTGAACGACGTCTTTAAGTTAATTAACATTTTGAATCCTTAAAATTACCAAAGGTTTAAAAGGTTTAATACCGAATGTGAGA